AAAAAAAAAAAAAAAAAAAAAAAAAAAAAAAAAAAAAAAAAAAAAAAAATTTAAGATAGACATTTCATCCTGAATGTAGAACCTCTAAATATCAGATCATATAATTTACATAATTATGATTCTTTTCAAGAGCAGAAATCAAGATGAGATGATAGGAAACCCTTCTACATTTCAATATTGTTGCTGTCCAAAAGTACAAAGTCTACCAATGTATTATATTCAACTCAGGCGCTAATACCATAAGCTAATGAATGGCCAGAGGACAAAAAGAATGCCATCTTTCAGCAGTTCATGGATATCTACAGGGCAAAATTTTTCATCCATACTAAAGAGGTTACAAATCTTTAATGCACTGTTTAGTGTCTGGTAATGGTAATAGGCGATGATTGATAGGTCTTACTCCTTGCTTAAGCCAACGGTTCAAGAGGAATGTTTCTAATTTCCTTACCTGCGAACAGAAAAAATCACAGAATAGAGTGAACAATGGATCGGCATCTCTAGTGGTCACGTAGTAATATGAATGCATACTGATAAAGTAGGACCAATGATGGTGGTCATATTTGGATGTCTATTATTCTACGTTATCAAAAACCATCAGTGGTAGGCTGAAAGGTTAGACCAAGTAAACCGGCAACACACCAAACTTGAACAACTCTAAGCAACTGTAAGGGCTGGGATGAGATAGGTGAATTTTCATTCTGACTTGTGTCAATTTGTACAAAACAAAAACTTCGGATAGGTTCACATGTTGGGAAAAAAATAGTGGCAGTTCAACCCAAACCAACCCAATACAAATAAATAATATTCTAACCTCTTAACTTTTTCTAACCACCCAAGCCCACCGCTAGCAGATATTGTCTTCTTTGGGCTTCCCCTTTTGGACTTCCTCTCAAGGTTTTAAAATGCGTCTACTAGAAAGAGGTTTCCACACCTTTATAAGAAATATTCGTTCTTCTCTCCAACCAATGTGAGATCTCACAATTCACCCTCCTTGGAGGTCCAGTGCCCAGTGTCTGGCTCTGATACCATATGTAACAGCTCAAGTCCACCGCTAACAGATATTGTTCTTTTTGAGATTTTCCTTCCGGGTTTCCTTCCAAGGTTTTAAAACGTGTCTACTAGGGAGAGGCTTCCACGTCCTTATAAGGAATGCTTTGTTCCCCTCTCCAACCGATGTGGGATCTCCTGCAATTGGCCAACATAAGATTCATACCACAAGTACGTGTTCACACTTATCATGGCTCATGTGTCCTTTTTCCAATTCATTTTTGTTTAGCTACACAAAGAACCTCCAAACAATGTGTTCAGTAACGTTATTCACATCGGTAGATCTATCTCCCCCACTCTCCAGCCTCCCTTCTACCTCAATATCTCTCTCCACTACATATCTCACCGATTGTTCCTATCTCTCTCTTTGCTCTGGATCTTGCTCTTTGTTGGTATCTCTCTCCACTCGAGATCTCTATTCAATCATCTTTGATGCATCTTCTTGCCATCTGATTTCTCTCAACATAATGTTTCTTATCTGTCTGATGTCTAATCTCTCTCAATGCAATGTTTCTTATCTATCTTTCTGACGCGGGTGACTCATCTTGAAGAGGAAATCAAATTGCAGTAAAGCCAGCACTGCTTGAACTATCTCCTTCCAAAAGGTGTTTTCAACAAAATTCCAAATAAACAGGTTCGTCGTTCTGTCACCAGAATCACTGATGCTAGGTTTCTACACACTTTAGGCTTACTAATTACAAAGGCTCACACACAACAAAATTGAAAATTAAAATAATAACATAAATTGTTAACAAATGTCCCACATCATTCTCACGCCAACAACCTGATGACCCAACCCAACCCAACCACAATATTGGGTTGTTCTGGATGTTGCATTCAGTTTATTTGTGTAGGTTAACAGACCAACTCAAATTTTGAGGTTGGTCTACAAAACAACCATGAACTGACTCAACTCAACCCAAGCCATGAACACTCTAACTAGACAGGTAGGTACATTTGGGACAAGATTTCCACAGCCCTTTCCATGGGGCTTATGACCTTGAAGCAACATTTGGGCGAGTCGGTGACAAATCAATGAAAATAATAGTAATAGTGAAGGAAACTTAATAAAAGTTTTAAAAAGATTAACAATATTTGCATCTTCTTATACCCTAGATTTTCAACACATTAATTCCCTCAATAAATTGCAAGAGAAGAGAACAAAATGGTATATATATATATATATATATATATATATATATGTAGAAGGAGAAACCAACCTGCCTAACAACAAACGTCTCCCCAGCAATGCTCAAGGGTTCAGTTAAAATAGTCAAAAGACCATTACGGTTCCCAAAAACCACATCTGTGAATGGTCGATCACCTACCTGAGAAAAGATGGATTTCAACTTCTAAATAATAGCTTACCCAAAAAACCAAAGCATTCAAGCAGTTCACCTGATTCTTACCATAACAAGTTGGGAAGAAGTAAAACCAAAGTGTTTCTCGATTTCTTCAGCTGTACCAGCAGGCTTCTTCACCCCTACGTCAAAATACTTAGCAGTGTCTCATATGTGCAATGCAGAAATAACCTTACATACGCACTAAAAGTAATTAATCAGCCTAAATTTACGGTGTGTTCCATTATAAGCATTGAGCCTAACATTAGTTCATCATGTAGAAATCAATGATTTTTTTACACGACACTTCATCCATAAAATGGAATGAAGAAATCTCAAAGTCCAAATTCTCTACTTTTATGCACTAAGAGGTGGTGGTTAGCAATAAGACGTTCACCCACTAAAATGTTATAGCACGGGGATACAATATCTAAAGCCTAATGTTCAGCAACAGGAACAAAATTCAGCCTGCGTAAACAAATGTTACAGAAATAGAATTAAATATGGAAAATTTACACTCACTATGCCTTATAACTTTAATTCCAATCGACCCCTCGATCGCTTTAGCTTTTGAACCATCATGATCATACTCAGAAAGCCCTAGCGCATCAGATAACATGAGGGTAAATATTCACATTGAGGCCAAAAACAAACCATTAAGGCTATTGAAGCAAGCACATTGCTAACGAATTTAACCCATATTACCAGCAGAGTTGCTGAGCACCGCTACATTATGGCCAAAGACAGATTTACACTGTTCAAGTGAGGATTTGAGAGGAGCCCAAATTGTCTCAGAGTAAGGCGCGGTAATTGTATTGTCCTTATCAAATACAACGCCCTTGAAACCCCTTCTTTGCAGTTCAGCCCAATCAATGTAGCTCACATCAGGCACAACAACATGAGGTAGCGCCAAATGCCGGTCCTTCGTAATAACAGCTGCAGAAGAAACAATGCCTTCGATGTTTAATCTCTGACCAACTGCAGCTTTCAGGTTCGCCCACCACATGTTTGTCAAAAGTCCCTTGGCGTTTTTGGCGCCCTTTTTCTGATCCTCTTGACCCGGATCTTGTTTCTGATTATTAGTAGCTGGGTCTTCGTCCGCGGCGTTCTCAGAGTTGACTGACGAGTAGAATTGCTGAAAAAGCCTGTGGTTTCGAATCGGGTCGGGCTCGGCGTCGTGGGGGCTGTGGTTTTTGGTGCAACCGGTTGCTGGAGTTGGTGTAAAAGAGGGAACGCACAAATCATTGAATCGAGAACAATTGGTTACAAGGGAAATGGGAGAAAAAGATTTATGGTTTGTGGAGAGACGAGGTTGGTGGAATGGAATCGAACGAGGACAAGAGCAACTGGGCAGAGAAACCACAGAAATGGAATGCGTTATCATGTTAGTTCTTCGCGCTTGTGATATAAAAATCTGAATCTGTAATATAAAATTTGCTTGTGGGCTTCAAATGTGGAATCGGGCCTGACCTGATCCTTATGTAAAGCCCAAATGTTGAATGATCCCCTAAGCAATTCACACCAAGGGGGCCGAGTTAAGTTTTAAATAGTGCAATAAACTAGGGATGTCGGCGTTTGGGACAGCAAGTTTCGGTGTTGTCTTCAGCTCCATATTAGGGAGGTGAGTGAGGCAGTATGAAGTGAAGCAACAACCAGTTTTTACAGGGCAATTTGATGGCTTTCACTTTCGTACAGTACGAAACAAGGGGACAGCGTAGTCGTGTTGGGGTTTGGTTTCCCCATGGAAGAAGAGAGACAGACGCAGAAGTCAGAGAATGGTGGGAAGTGAAAATGGGAGTTGGGGTTTGGCAGTGAGAAGACGGTCGGATCCAGTAGTCCAGCAGTAGCAGTAGTCCAGTATTACAATTAATTCATTGTTGGGTGCGGATGGGAAGCATAAATGCATTGCATGTGTACCACTTGCTCCCTGCTTCTTTGCCTTTTGCCCCTTCAAACGCGCGCATACTTTCCTCTCCCACACCGCTAAAATCCAATCTTGGTCCCACTTTATGTACACAATTATCAAAGTTGGGCGCTGAAATCAGCGGCTGTCCTCCTTGTTGATGCAGCTCAAATCTCTGAAGACCTAACCTTCTATTCTCCTATCACCAATCATTCGTACAACAACCTGGTCCCTCTTTTTTGTTTTCTTTTTTTTTCTTTTTGTAAAAAGTTAGATTGTTTTGCATTTAATAATGATTAGGGGATGTGTTTTCCAAATAATTTGACATCTAAAACTATAATGTATGAATATTATTATAAGATTGCATATAGGAGACAATGAGAAGGGAAGGGTATTTGTTGGGCAACACAACCAAATCTCTCTCCCAATGCCCAATACATCCTTTCTTGCTTCCCTTCTTGGAACCATCACCATTATCAATACCCACTCTTTTTATTTACTATTTTACTCCTCTCATTCAATTTCATTTTTTATAAAATAAAGTATAATATTTGTAAATTTTTTATTTGGTCCTTTAGTTTAGTTTAATTAAAAAATTGAAGTGTATGATAAAGGCGAAATAAAGTCTTTTTTATATAATTATATTTTATTTATTTCGTGTATTGCTGGATGAATTGGGATTAATAATTAATTTACAGGAAAAGAAAAAAGAGAGTAAATTTTGGGGGCTCAAGGAGGTGGGGCTACTGATTGACGCCACGTGGCGACCATGCCAAGGCTACTGGATTAAGAGAGTGGGGAGGCACATGGGTGGCGTTGCCTTCAAGAAAATCATGTGATCACATGTGCTCTCTCTCTCTCTCTCTCTCTCTTTTTTCCTCCTCCTTTTCGTGGCCCCCATTTTCTATTTCTTCCTCTCTCTCTCTCTCTTACGTGTAACACCACGCGCCCCACTTCTTCTCCCTTGCGCTTTGGTCTCCATTTTCTTAATTTACTACAAATTTATTGACCAAGAATTCAAACATCTTCAATTTAATTTCAAAACTTTTAAATATTTAAATTATGTCTGCGGGTGAGATAATTATGTCTTCAACATCGGTTCCTGAAATATGGCTACATCTCTCACCTTTTGTAAGGTCCGACAGTTGTTGAATTTTATAGTACGTTCCAACAACCATGTCATATCATATATTTAATTTTGATGTATTTTCAAGTGAGATAATTGTGTATGACCCCACCTTGTGTTTGGTTGGGTTCTCAAATTCGTGCATTTATCAAGTGTTGGGAGATGAATTTGTTAACATTATTGAAGTGGTGAGGCAAAGCTAGTTTGAATTCTTTGAATTGGACACAAATAATAAAAACAGCATTTACTTCCCGCTCACAGGCATGAGGTGGAAGAAACTTCACTCGCGTACGGCGGCGGTTGAAGGCCACGAAAATCAAAAGCAGAGTGAGTTGGGGAGAAGGCCAAAAATGGTGGGCCACAGCTTCGTTGGCATTGACATTTCCAGAGCTCAACAATAATTTAACTCCCTTCTGCTTCTTCTTCTTCTTCTTCTTCTTCTTCTCTTCTTCTTCTCTTCTTCTTCCCATTCAATTCACACGCCTCTGCCATTCTCTTCTCTCTCTCCAGCTGTAGCCATGGGGAAATCCCAAATTCAAAGACTCAAACTCGCCATTCAGACCAAGCGAACCACCACTCCTCGCCATAAAGCCCTAATCCTCAACGCATTGCATAAATCTCCTCTCAATCGCAACGCCCGCCGCCGGAGACGCACAAAACCCACCCGCATTGCCTCCGGAAAAGCCGAGGAGAAGGAGGCCGTCGAACGGAAGATTCGCGCGTTGCAGACCATCGTCCCGGGAGGGGAATCGCTCGGAGTTGACAAACTATTCGAACAGACGGCGGAGTATATCATGAATTTGCAGCATCAAGTGAAGGCCATGAGAGCGCTGTCGAGCTTCTTCGAAAGCTTGGAGAAGGAGAAGAGCAAGTGCGGCGGAGGTTGAAGAAGATGAGTAACTCTTTTTTGTTTTTGATTTTTTTTTTTTCCTTTCTTGATTCGGTTAATTATTTTTTTCTTTCCATGTGAGAAAGATGGGACGCTTGATTCTCAGTCGCTCCATCTTTTCTCTTCTCTGTTAGTTGGGAGCAGAATTTGGAATCCTTTTGCCTGTTTATGATCATCATACTACTCTCTGCTAAATCAGTGTAGCTTTCTAATGAATACAAAATCAAATTCCACCTGGTGAGAGTTGAACAATGTCTCATTATTCCTCACCTTATGATCTTAATACCCATTAATGTCTCATCTACTGCACTTCACAACGCATCTGATTCCTTCATTCAGTTCTTACAATTTTTGGATTTTCTGAAAATAATTACAAATCTGGATTCACTCATCACTTACGCCTACCATTTTGGATCAATCATTGTTTGAAAACTAATTTACTTTCTTTTAGGTAAACTATCTATTGGTAAATCATTTTATTTTCGCGTTCATACTATTTATAGTACATTGATTCTGACTTGTTTTTTTTTTTATAAAATAGATTGAAAATAGTTCACTTTTTTCTTAATTTATTGTTGCTCTCATAATTTTCCATTGCTTTCAATTACTTTATTGGACGATTCTAATCTTTTATGATGCCAAAATATTGATCTCCATCAAAAGTTGAATTTCAGTGAGATTGTTGTTCATAAAAGCAATAACAACAAAACATAAATTAATACCAATCACCCATTTGGCATAAACCATGCAACCTCCTTCCAACTCCGAAAACTTTGCAAGTGTTCTAAGTTAGTAAAAGCTCAGCTTCCTCTTCAATGGCCAATTCAATATGGTGATGGTAAGTTTTGAGGTTTGAGATCCAATAAACGAACATAATCATGCTTTTCTTCCCTACTACAAAACTCTGGCAACTACAAGCATGGACCCTGCCATTGAGACAAACGAGTTTCGTGGATAAAATGGCATTCATCTTATCTACATGAAGTTGCTTCAAACTAAACACGAGAAACTTGTCTCTTCCTTCTAACTACTCAGCCAAATTCGAGTCATTGAAACATCGAAGAAACCCAAGTAAAATGTTTTATCGAAACTCCATGGACTAGATTCCTCAAAACACATGCTTCTCTAATACATTCTTGTCATACCGTACTCGACCATGCCAGTGTTTCTATGGGTGGTGGCAGTTGCAGCTGGAACGGCTCCAGTGTCATATTGAGTGTTTACCTGCACACGTGCAGCACGGTCATTGTTTCCCGCCTTGTGCAATCCTACACGTGCCATAAAAAAAGGATTTGAGAAAGCACCAGTAGCTGCTGTGTCGGATGTTAATTTGGCTGCCATTCCGCATTGAGGGGCTTGTTTGCATTGCAAGGAAGTGTCTTTCTCAGCCCCTGTTGTTGATGATTCTTCACTTTTGCCGCAAGATTGCTGGTAATAATATGTTGGATGGATAGCATGAGAAGGGAGGGCACTTCTAATTAACCTTCTTGGATCATAGGCATCCTTGGCGATACTTCCACTATCATATGGCATGACCGGGCCTGATATTCTTCCAGGCTCACCTAAACAAAGATACAAGATCAGCACAGGTGGATCCAACAGTAAGTTAGGGGGATCAGGCTGCTGGAAAGTAGACAAAACAAACATAGAATGGTACTCGAATAAGACCTTGAGTTGCAGCAATCCTCTGTGCAGCTGGATCTCTGTAATGCCGGTTGCTGTACGCCCCTGGTGGCACATATCGGTCTTTAAAAGAAGCAACATTCGATGTTGCTTTAGGAGGAATGGTATTCGACTGAACCGAAGACCTGGTAGCATGAGCGAAGAATTAGAAATCATCAGAATTGGGCATTCGCTCTATGGCTTAATAGGTGACATTTGAAGAAGCGTTGTTTACCTAGGAAGAGATGCATGCTTTCTTTCTAGAGGATAAGCTGGTCCACTTTTCCCTCCATTATCTTCAAGATGAGCAAATTGTTTTTTGAACTGATCGAGTGCACTGTGCAAGCAGAAACATGGACCAGAAGATCAGCGTCCGGAATATCCACTTACCAAATCAACATTCATCATTTGGAAATTGAAATAGAGAAGGCATTAAGGACCTTGGATAAAGAAAATTTGCTCTCTCAGTTCCATTTAAGTAGTCTTTCAGCAGTTGAGGATGGTATTCTAGTATCTCCCGGAATATCAGCTCGCGAATGTCGTCCTTTGTGACCTTTCTCCTCTCAAATTCAAACTCCACCTTTGAGATTGGCTGGCAAGAAGGTTCCCTCTCAACTTTTGCCAGCCCTTTAAAGTAAGGATCTGCCAATGCCTGATGGAAAATGCAATGTTTTCAACATGTTAGCACATGCAACTAATTTTGCTCTATATCATACTATAATTTAGTGGATAACCAAACGCTAGACAAATAAAGGCAAAGAGTATATAACAGAGGTAGTAAGACAAGAATGTATCTAGTCGAGCATGTAACAGCAGACCTCTTCTGCAGTAGGTCGATCCTTTGGATCAAACGCAAGCAATCGTTGTAGTAATTGCAGGGCTAGAGGATCCGCATTTGGGAACTTCTGTGAAAACGGAATGGGCTGCTTCTTCCTCATACTAGCTAAGTACCTTCTAGCCTTCTCATTTCTTACCTAAGGCAACACATTTGAAAGTTGACAGTCAAGAAAATTTTAAGCCAAAACATTAAAAAGATACAAAACTTCTCCACAACTATGCGTAATAAAAGGCCACTTACCCGAGAAATGGTATCTAATGAAGGCGTTCCAAGGAGATCTGTCATCAGATCAAGCTGATGAACAACATTTTTACCGGGAAAAATTGGTTTTCCAGTTAGTACTTCAGCAAATATGCAGCCAATACTCCAAATGTCAATGGCAGGAGTATACTACACCCAGACAAAAAATAGAAAGAGTTACGCGTAAAGAAGGAAAAAATAAGTCACGAAATGAGGAACATCGTTATCAGTCGTGAGTGGTGTAGCGGAATTAACAACTAACTAAACCATTTAAACCAAAAATCTCACTACGGCAGTATTGACTAATTTAGATCTATAGATAGTTGGAGATTCAAGATAATCTGATTACTTGTTTGGAAAACATCATATGAAGCTAGAAAAGTTAAGATAACAACATTGTTCTGTTCTCTATGTTCAGAAAATGTCATCAAGACAAACCTTAGAGAAGAAAGAACCACATAGCTCTGGAGCTCTATACCATCTGGTAGCAACATAGTCCTGCAAGTAACATCACATTCTATAACCTTCGCTCTCTACATATATATCCAGAATCTCTATGATATTGAACATGACATACTAGTAAATCAATTGGCCTACCGTCCAAAATATTGTTGTCGGGGTGTCACTGAAAGCAACTCTAGCCAATCCAAAATCACATATTTTGAGTTTGCAATTTGCATTTGCCAATATATTCTTTGGTTTTAAATCCCGATGGTAGACATTTGCTGCAGTAATGTAGATCAAAATCAGATAGTTTACACATTATATCCAACCGCTACCACACTTACTCCAGACAGCATATCTCCACAAGAACAGAATTCAAAAGATATGACAACAGAAAAGGCTATATATGCTGTATGAAAAACAAAAAAAACATCCCATCTAGCTTAAATGACAGTGGGCCAAGAAATTAAAATCATCACAACAGCACTCCAGCTCAACAAAAAGTGTAGTAAAGTGTCAATGCAATACAATATCCAAGCACCTGCGTGAATATATTTTAGTGCACGGAGTAGCTGATAAAGGAAAAATTGATAGTGCTTTGTTGTTAAATCATCATTAGCCTTGATCACTTGATGCAAATCTGATTCCATCAACTCAAACACAACAAAGATATCTTTGAACCCCCTACGAGAAGGCGGTAGCATAATGTGTTTGATTTCAACAATATCGGGATGACGTAGAAGTCTGAGCAGCTTTATCTCACGAAGAATACGAGCAGCATCCGATAGGTGTTCAAAAATATCATTTATCTTCTTTATTGCCACTTTTTCATTAGTGAGAGTGTCGACAGCTGAACAAACCACTCCATAACTCCCCTTCCCAACAACTTCCTGAATTTTGAATCTGTTAGCATCGCCATATTCAGAGAAAAAGTCCAACTCTGCAGAATCCTGTCACACAAACACCATCTACGTTAAGATACACGATACTTCATAAATTGAAACAGCCGACAAGCCAAGAGAGTTGAAAATTTGAATGAAAATTTTGGGTATAACTTTCCAAGGACATCAGTAAATGGTATAGGATACACCACAAACCAGGAAAAGGACGAAGAAATGGCATCAAAATGAATAGAATAGAAGGAAATGACATCTATCCAAGGCTGCAAATTCAATATTTCACATGCATAGTCGATCCCTTCAATCAAAACCCAACCTATAAACTCCTATAACACGTGTTTTTAACTTCAGATTCATGTTGAAACTGTCGTATACTTCCATCCAAATGCCTAAACTAGAAGGTATTTGACAAAAAAATTGCATCAGACAGAAACATTTATCAAACTTTGGGGGGAAAAGAACCAACGCAGTAGAGAAGATTCTAACAAAGAGAGTTAAAAGTTCACCTTCTTACGGTGATTGGTCTGCATTTCCCTAAACTCTCAAACCCAACTTCGTCGAGAACAGTGAATACAAAATCTGAAATCAAGTTCAGCACCAAAACAGAAAACTTCGATTCTTAATTGACTAAAAGAAGACTCAACCGCATTTTCCCCACCTACCCCTGCTCCGGATCACAAACCCACAATCCCTCCTTATGCTCCTTCCCGAATCCTCCACGGAACATAATAAAATTACCCGAATCAAATCCCTCATACACTTCCCTACCTGCAATCCCAAAACCTGAACCAGAAACTCAATCACCGACCCAGAACAACCAACACCACCGGCTACCATAAAGTAACCAAAATCAGATCGAGTATGGAAACTTTTAGCATTCCTACTGGATGAATGCCCTAAACCCAACTGCTGAACGATGAAGAAGCAGGTAATAAAGACGAGAACAGGGAAATCGGAGATCTACAGGCGGCTTACAGGAAAGAAGAAGAGAGTTGGGGAAAGGAATAAGCGCGGAAGGGAGGAGTAGAGGGAGAGGGTGGGATATATAAACAGGATAATTTTAATTCAAAAAGCAGAAATCTAGGAGACCCTCTTCCTTTTTTTCGGCTTTTTCAATCCCTTTGCTTGCAATTATCAGTGGCATCTTTTTTACTCTTCTTTAGGCTCCGTAGATTCGTAGCCGAGGACGTATGGATAAGGATGGATGGGCGGTGGAAATACCAGGTGGATTGATTTCAGGAGAACATACATCATGGGAATCAACAATCTTCGCCAAACAGAATCCTAAATATGTATGAGAATCCACAATGGTGATCCTCCAAATTTATTGCTCCAAGTCCCCTTATTAAATAATAGGGTTTTAAAAACTATAAGAGATATATCTCTCCTAAATGATCTAGAAACCCAATCACATGAACAATATTTTGAACCAGAGTTCGACTCATATACATTGCAAAATTTACGCTAAGAATTTAGCTTACTCAGGCTATATCCGAATTCACGTATTATTTAACCTAAATCATCCAAACATTAGGGGTTTAAGCTATCAATTCAAAGGAGCAATCGACAAAAGCATGTGGGCAACTTGGAAATCAACGGTGGGCGAGATTTAGCGGCCCTCAAAGCTTTCCCCACTCAATAATTGGCTTGCATCATCTTTCCCACTTTACACTGTAAGAATTTTATAATTACAAGTCCCTTTTTCTTTTCTTAGTTCAACTTAGACCTTAATTTCTATCAGGATTAGCATATGATTTATGGGCATTGTCGTTTTCAGTCTTATCATGCAGCATTTTGATTATTCTTTGACCACTCATCTAACAATGTGGAATAGGTTACCATATTGTGACAGGTAAAAAGGTCATATGAAACAAAATTTCCACCAGCCTCCTTATTTTTATTTTTAATTCATATTCATAGTTTTCAATATAACATGTTGGGTGAGAATTTGAACCTCAAATCTCTTAATCCAGAGTCTATGCCTCAATAGGGAACACTTTTCTTTTCCCCCAAGTATTATTGTCGATACGCTTCATATTCGCATGATTGAAGTCACATCAATAAGTAATGTATTCAAATCATCAAAGCATCAGCAATGGAAGCTGCTAGACTCAGAACTTCAAAAGGAGCTTTATCAGATATGGCTTTGACTGTGTGAGGGCAGGAATCTGTGATCCAGAAGTGAGAAAACGCTATCTCCAGACCTTCAGAAACAACGCCCAAATAGAAATTAGCATACTTGGAAGTCCATGGGATTAAGACTATGCATGGAGGGAGACTTCAAGCACTTACCATTCTTGTGAAGGAATCGATTCCATGATTGCTTTGGGAAAACACCATGAGTAACATATGCGCTAACCTTGGCCGCACCGTGAGCTGCTAAAACTTTCTGATTACAAAGTAAGCAGGGCTATTAGAATGCAGTAGGCACACTCAACAATATGTTTGGCCACAGGTTTCTCAGCTTGCAGCTTGACCATGGCCTTGTAGAAAAATAATAATAGCCAAAGTAGAAAATGGGCATGCTTCTAATAATTGTGTGCAGAAATGACATTGTAGAATAAAATCTTCATCAATGATGTTCGTGTAAAAGGAACTTTTTGTAGCTCACTTATTTGCTATAATGAGAATCCTGTCACTAGACGAGGAAAATTGATGGCATTTGATAACATATTCTGTAAGACCTTTGTCATGAGAATGCTCTGCCAATTCACAATGATTTACAACTACAAATGCCTGTAGTCTACTCAACTATCATATGGTATGAAATCAATTAGGTTGGAACTTCAATGAGATACTTCTTATGCCAGCAGTTTTGGTACAACCAAGTAAGAGATGGAGAATTGAGTTTAAATGATCTTTCTGCACTTGTTTGATGAAATAGTAGGTGTTAGGAATCACAGATCTCTACAATGGCATGATATTGTTCACTTTGAGCATAGATTCTCATGGCTTTATTTTTGAATTCCCCAAAAGGCCTCATACCAATGGAGGTAGTGTTCCATACTTAGAAACCCATGATCTATCCTATAATTAGCCGATGTGGGACTCCTCTCCCAACAATCCTCAACAGTATGTAGCAGGATAGGGACCAGATGTATACCTGGCACTCAATCAAGGTTCCTCCAGATTGTACCAAATCATCAACGATAACAACGTGACAACCAGCAGGGACTCCTTCCTTGATCCGCACTATCCTTTTGTCTTCTTCCCGAACTTTTGTACAGATGACCTGCCATTCGTTGACATCAGATTTTAGACTGTTAAGAGAAATGTACTCATAAAATTGTAGTTTTTAGATAAATTCCAACTAACCACAGGATAGCCATCGAGTTGCTTGTGGAATCGTTTCCAAGCTCCATCATCTGGAAATGCTATAACTACCTGAGATAGCAGGATTAATCACGGGCAGTGTAAAAGAAAAAGGAAATTTTTAGAGCTCTGAACTGCATACTCACATTGTCAGCATCAGGAAGTTGGCGCAGACGTTGCTTCAGGAGTGGAATTCCAGTTTCAAACAAAGGCAAAACATTATCCCCAAAGTAAAACCTTTCCTGCATTGAAATGGAAATTGATATAAAAGATGATACAGATGAGATGGAAATTGGCATGAGATGAAGAGATGCAGATGTCGGAGGATTCTCCCAGGCTAAAAGTTAATTCATGGCCAATTATAGACCATAAATCCAATGAATAAAAACAGACCTGCAAGGCATGAATATCATAGATAACTACGCTTGTTGGGCCACCTCTTGAAATAGGGATATTTGATAAGATCCGGGCCATGGTAAATGCTGTTGCAACATCCCCTTCTTCTTCCATTCGCTCAAAGGAGCCAGTAGGAAAGAAGGGCAATACCAAGGTGAATGAAGCAGAAAAAAGCCTGGGGAGATTGTATATGACTGATATCTGTTCAAAGATGGCTCCTGGGTGGCTGAAAGATGCAAGGAATGCTACATGATTCCCGCGTAGATCTTGAGCATTGTTTATATAAATATTTGGAAAACCATCATCAAACGTCCTGTATATAGATAGTGTGAACAATAGTAAGATTATAGTAGTTACAAAAGAAAGACAACCTGGAGCAGTTTATAACTTGACATATTAACAGAATGAGGTACAAAGAAAACATTAGGCATAACAACGATTAGCCAAGAATTGAAAGGTTGCAATTATAGGACACAGATATGGCAGGATACAAAGACAGAATCCGAAATACCAGCTTCCACAAAATTACTCTGTGGCATACAGGTAAACAGGTGATAGATGATGAAATGGCAGTCTCTTGCCAGTGCTATTTGCTGATCCGGATTAAAGATACCTAGTTCCTGGCATCATCAATTCGTTTTCCCGTTTTCGTTACTAAATGTCTAGATAGCTTGTCTTTTTATGGTTAAAACCAGCAAGAATGTGAGTGAGACACAAGTAGAGACATTGAGAAAGCGATGAAAGTAGTAGGATTGTGGTTGTAGAACAAGAACAGAAGAGAGCAGTTGTAAAGGAAAGTGAAGTAGTTGAAGTGAGTGAAGATTCGAAACAAGGTAACGAAAGGTAATGGTAAGATAAGAGTAGGTGAATGATGAAGATTGGGGGGAAAAAGGTGGTGGAAAGAAGAGTATACATACAACAAGTAGAAGAAGTAACAGAAAATCAAAGAACGCAGTGAAGAAATTTGTATTGATGGTGGAGTAATGAAACGGAAAAGGAAAAGGGAAGGACCTCCATTTGATGGTTTGAAGAGTGATGGAATCGGATTGAGCAGCAAGTTTGTGGGCAAGTTCTTCGCATTCCGCGCAGTAGAAGAGAAGGACGTGCTTCTTCGCCGGATTTGCCATAGATTCTCACACCTCAAACCGCAGACCTCCGCCGGAAGGTTGCTTTCACTTCAAGCAGAGAGAGAGAGAGAGAAAATATAGAATTTGATTGGTGGGACCCATCCGTTTCCCAGTTGGAATAACGCATTTCTCGCCCAGAAAATAAGAAAAAAGAAAAGAGAAGAACCATTTTTGTTGCTCCACCCGCTTCCACCAATCATCTCATCACTTCATTTACAAAGCTTATTTCAAGGTTAGTCGGCGTAGAAAAGGAGAGTGGTTGACGAACTAGGAATCCAATTGGGAGTCCTGGTCTTGGCGATTAGGTTCACTTTCCCAAGCAGATCCGAGGCAATCAAACTCCAATTCCTTCCTTTCTGGGTTTGGATTTGGGGCGTGACCCATCTTAGTTGGGTTTGGTTCACCACGTTTGAGCCCAAAAGAAAGCACCAAAATGGACCCACCTGAAGTACCAATTTTCATAGAGAGACGAAAAGGGCAGTTCCCACTAAATTGCATTGGGAAGTTGCCACTTCCTTTTTTGTTTCTTGGGCTTTTGCAGCATAGCCCCCCAATCAAATTTAATAACAATCACAATGTAAACTGCAGAACCAGACCGCAATGAATGCACAGCAGACAATGTTGGAAGACTCCGAAAATTTTAATTTTAAATTTTAATTTCAAATACGATTCTGTTATGCTTTCGTACATTCTGACCTAAAGGGTGCGTACAAATTGTCAAATAACAGATAATATTGAGAGGGTTTTGTGTTCACCCACGGTTTTGGAATTCCTATGCCCTCTTCCCAACGACAGCCGTAAACAGAGCAGAAATAAATAGGGAAATTTAAGATTTTGTACCAACCAAAATTACTCCAATACATATAAAAAATGGTCACCTAATGCTAACATATTTTGATACCAACGCCACATCCAAATAATATACATAAATCAATAATAAAAGAGAGAGAAAATGATGAGCATTGAATAAGCCCTCCCACTCAATTTTCAACGCTGAAACAAACTGGAACCCCCCTCCCTATAAATACTCTCCAAACCCTTCATCTTCTTCATATACCAGAAACTTAAAAAACGTGTCCATGGCTGTGTTCCCAAGGCTTCTTTTCAACCTCATGCAACGTGTTGTCCACCAACTCTTACCCAACTCTTGCTACACAGCAGCCAAGAAGGTGAAACAATATGGCTTCTTTTTCAAACCCCCATCTCTCAGAACCCCCCACCCACCCTCATTCTCTCTCTACCCCCACGTCTCCAAATGTAGCCTCCAAGATAGAGCTTCCCACACTCTTGTTTCCGACTTCCATGGCTCTCTTTTGAGACCCTCCTCTTCCAAAGATTGCTCCTTCTTCCCTTACTTCATGCTCCTTGCCTTCGAAGGTGGCAGCCTTGTCAGAGCTCTCATTCTGCTGCTTTCTTGGCCCATTCTACGTCTTTTGGATTGGGAGTCCAAATTGAAGGCCATGATTTTCATTTCCTTTTGTGGGTTACCTATAAAAAGCATGGCCAATGTCAGCTCCACCGTCCTTCCCAACTTCTATCTCGACAATCTTAACCTTCACGTGTTTGAGGCTTTCCAAGCCATTGGGTGCAAGGTTGTGTTCACCAGCGTGCCTAGGGTTATGGTGGAGGGGTTTCTGAGAAACTATTTGAAAGTTGATGACGTTGTAGGGACAGAGTTGCAAACTTGTGGTAACTACTTCACTGGTTTGGTGTCCGGGAGTGGGTTGGTCGTGAAGCACAAGGCTTTAGTGGAGTATTTCGGAGAAGAAAGAAGGCCCGACGTTGGCATTGGAGCTCCAGATCTCCATGACTATCCATTCATCTCTCTTTGCAAGGTATTTTAACGATATCTTTAAAAATGCATCGCCCCTTTCCAATAAATGCTTGAATTTCACTAAATTTATGGAGTATATACCAAAAGCTGTACCTATTTTCTTCTAATGCATTTAATTCGAAGCAATAGATCTTGGATCCAATGAAACCTCCGTACATCTTGCCAGCCCATCAAAAGGGCTATTCAAATTTCATTATATTGACTAAAAAGGTTGCTTTTTTGTCGACAGGAAGCGTATATTGTGAACAACGAGGACAGCAAAGGCTGGAGAAGCTCAGTAGTGGGAAGAGAAAGATATCCAAAGCCATTAATATTTCACGATGGAAGATTGGCGTTTTTACCAACTCCTCTCGCAGCTCTTTGCATGTTCATGTGGATTCCTGTGGGGATATTTGTAGCCTTTTTCAGGATCTGTATTGGCATTGTCCTTCCTTACAGATTAGCCATTTTGTTAGGGTGTTGGAGTGGGCTACGCATAACTCTGGAAGGCTACAACAGAACGACAACCCTCGACTCAAAGCAACACATCTCCAAAAAGGGGGTTTTATTCGTTTGTAGCCACAGAACACTTCTGGACCCTGTTTTTCTAAGCACTTCAATGGGGAAGCCGTTGATTGCAGTGACTTACAGCCTAAGCAAATTCTCGGAAATCATAGCTCCAATCAAGACGGTGAGGTTGGCAAGAGATAGAGCAAAAGATGGGGAAGCAATGCGGAGAATGCTAGAAAAAGGGGATTTGGTTGTTTGTCCAGAAGGGACGACATGTCGGGAGCCGTATTTGTTGAGATTCAGTCCGCTTTTTGCGGAGCTGACGGATGAAATCGTGCCTGTGGCTGTGAATACGAAGGTGAGCATGTTTTATGGGACGACGGCGAGTGGGTTGAAATGGCTGGATCCCGTATTCTTCTTGATGAATCCGAGGCCGAGTTACCAGATGGTTGTTCTTCCTAAGCTTCCGAGGGAGTGGACGTGTGGGGGAGGGAAGTCTAGTTACGAGGTTGCTAATTATATTCAAACACAATTGGCGGATGTCTTGGGGTTTGAATGTACCAAGCTTACAAGGAAGGATAAGTATCTGATGTTGGCAGGGAATGAAGGGTTGGTTGCTTCTTGAATTGGTGCAGTATGTACACATTTCTCGACTGGCTTGAATTAAGCTTATCTTGATCACCGGTGTCCCGTGCTCTGTTTCTTTTAGCGTAGTTAAAAAGTATTTATATTTTCTGTTGGACATTAAGCCGACAGCTAGCTCAAGTTTTAATTTATATGTTACACATGTTCTTCCAATATTCACAACAAAGTGAGTACAGCCTCAAATTTCACCTTCCATCACAGCATATATTACATCAACTGTCAACTGTCACTGTACAGAATGGTCCTCATTCCTTTCAACTCTACAGTAATGATAACAATATTAATAATTTTGAGCTTGGGCTGAACATTTATATTCCTTCCCCAGAGGGCCTTATTTTTATAAATCAATTTATTCATTAATTTTCCACAATGTACTAAGGAATAAATACGAAATGAAGCAGAGCATTAAACACTCCCACCAATATTTTGGCTCTAGCATTTAACACCTCCTCAACTTGTACCATCACAGCTTCCAAAAATGGTGCCCCTTCCTACGTGCCCACTCTGGAATGGTGGGAATTAATTTACTGAACCACACGGATGCTGAGTTGGCACCCCCACTGCATCCTCCACCGTCCGATCGTGCCATCTGCCTTTCAAGCCTTGATTCAGCCGTTGGATGAACCCCTCCCGCTCTTTTTCCTGATGGTCGAGAAACATAGCGATCTCCGTAGGATCCTTATCCTTCCACCACGTGGGATCGCATGCTGCTGTCAACCTACTTACCACCCCACCGGAATATTTCTCCCCCACAAACCCGGCGGCGGCGATTATGTGCTCGACCATTCCGGCGAGAAGAGCGGGCGGGGCACGGGCCTCTCCATCCCACAGCCACACGCGCGACATCCCTCTAAAAACCGCCACAGACATGGCGCGATTCGCGTCTTTCTCATTCAAAATGGAAGGGCTCAAATGAAGCACAAAGTCATCTCCGCCGTCGTGAAGCTTCTCGACGGCGAAACTAGAGGAGAGATCGGTGCGGGAGAGTGTGAGATGCACGCTCTTAACTGGCTTCTTGGGGAAGGCTGGAGAAGGGTAGATGAGATTCTCGATGAAGGAACTGGCGTTGAGGATGAGGCGCGTGGCTTCGTCATTCGAGACGTAGAAGAGATGGAAGCGTTGACCGGCGGGGGAGGGTTTGGCGTTGTTGAGAATGGTGATCTCGAAGCCTTTGGAGGCCTCGTGGTTGGCCAAGAGTGAAGTGATTCCGACGAAGGCGACGAGAAGGAGGCGGAGGGCGATGGCCTGATTCGGGAGGAAGGGGGATTGGTTGGCACAAGTTGGAGGGGCTGCGGACAGGAGAGGGAGAGAGAGGGATTGACGGTCTTCCATTGTTGAATGGGATTGAAGATTTAGGACAATTATAGGAGTGATGAAAATGGGGGGATTGGGCTTCACTTGGTGCCATTTCATTTTCCATTATTATTATTAGCATTCCTATTATTACTACGTGGGTGATTGTGATCCCCATCCCCAACCCCAACTTCATGTTGAACAAATGATTTGGTAAACAAAAAATGAATTTGTTATTAAGGAATTGAAGAGACAAGAGCAAAGGAATTGAAGAGGAAAGGTACAGATAGCTAGAAACTGCCAGATTAGATCCATGTATTGTTCTTGGGTTCTTATTCCCAATCACAACATGCTCTGCATTAAAAACATCAGACACATCTCACATCAACCAACTTGAATTGGGTGCACTAAATGCCAAGTCTTCCAAACGATGAAGTTGTGCTGGAGAGTTGAAAAAAGACAGAGTCCTTGTTGGGAGAAGGATGGCGGTATCAGGAAAGCAAATGGAAGCAATGGAAGATGGGATTTACAAGACTTCTCAGAAACAGATTGAATCTATGAAGTTATGTTTTATGCCCCTTGACATGTTGCAGTTGCAGAAAGTAGAAATCCAGAGTGAAGTGGAATTTCCTCTTAGATTTGGGGTTCTGAGCATGAACGTTGAATACTTTTTTCTTTCTTATATCCATACATTACATCCCATGGGAGGTTTTAGAAAGGGGAAAATGATAAGTAGAGTTGAATTTCATCTTATGGTTGTTCACCAGGAACTCTCAGCCTAACAATGTCGGTGCTAGTAATGACAGCAGCCCCACCAAAGTTACACCTACTTGGAACAGGATTGTTTTGATAGTAGCTAATAAAGGCGTAGGAGGGAGGCATGATCATGAATGATGTTTGGGTTGAATTGGTGAGCAATCAGTTCCACCGACGCCACACGCATGGTCTACGGTGACTAGCAATGCACCAGCTACCCCCTGAAGATGGTGGAGACGTTCTTTTAGGAGAATCCATGGCTGGAGAATACGTGTCTGAGGTTCAAGTTGGATGGATAAATGGAGAATCCATTGCATCAGCTGGCCCCTGATGCAATGGGATTGGAAAGAAACGGTGACCATTTTGGGGGACTGAATTTCTGGTTCTCATGGTTTACCTCTCTTGTGTCCTGTCATTTTGTTGTTCAAGTTCATATAAGCCTGAGAATCCAGCGGCTGTAAACGCTTGTTTGAGCATATCATAGAAAGATTTCAGACCAATATGAGAGAAGGTTTTAATATATATTAATCCCTTCTCCTTTCTGCCCACTCCAGCATGGATGCATTCAAATGGGTTTATCTTTAGCCTGCCTAATTCTTTCCCTCTGATCCCACAATCTTGACTGACTACACTCCAGTTGATTAAGGACAGTCTTATCTGAAGGACAACAATAGATCTTCCTTTCACTTACATATCCCTTCCCAACAATGTTATGGATATTCCAAACAGAACCCAAGTACAAAAAGTCCTCAATTCAGGTGGAACCACCCCAGAACTTCCAAAATTAAAATAATTATAAAAGGATACAATACCCATGGCCCATGTGTATAGAGACTTCTCTTTTTGGGTAGATGGTGGCCCTGTATCAGATTGGTATTGGATAACCAAGTTTCTGCCATGGCCACACCACAGGGAAGTTCAACACCTTCGGTCCTTCTGTGAGTTCTTCAACCAGAAGACGAGGTAAGAACGAGAACCTAAGAATCAGAAGTGAAAAATGTTAACAACTTATTGTGGGCTTCCTTCACTTCCACCAATTTCATCATCAAAATTGAGTCTCTTCGACCAACCTTACCTTTCAATGGTTGATAAAAATTGCACCACCATGAGAGACCTGCAACAGATTCACGCCCACCTCATCAAATCCGGCAGGGCCAAAGACTCTTTTGCTGCCAGTCGTGTTTTGGCCTTCTGCGCCTCCCCGTTGGGCAATATGGACTACGCATATCTGGTTTTTAAGCAAATGCAAAACCCTAATGTTTTTTGTTGGAATACAATAATAAGAGGCTTCTCGCAAAGCTCAAACCCTCAAATGGCTCTTTATCTTTTCATCCACATGTTGGTTTCTTCGCAAATAGAACCGCAAAGATTGACTTACCCATCAGTCTTCAAAGCTTACTCTCAACTTGGACTTGCCCATGACGGAGCTCAGCTTCATGGGAGGGTAGTAAAGCTAGGTATTCAGTTTGATCCGTTTATCAGAAACACAATCTTGTATATGTATGCTAATTGTGGGTTTCTGGATGGAGCTCGTCGAATATTTAACCAACAAATGGAATTCGATGTCGTTGCCTGGAATTCCATGATTATGGGTCTGGCTAAATGCGGTGAAATTGGTGAGGCGAGGAAGGTGTTCGATAAAATGCCTGTTAGAAATCCAGTCTCTTGGAATTCAATGATTGGTGGGCATGTGAGAAATGGGATGTTCAAAGAAGCCCTGAAGCTGTTTGTCAAAATGCAAGAACAGAGAATCCGGCCTAGTGAGTATACAATGGTGAGCTTGTTAAATGCGTCAGCCCAAATTGGAGCCCTCAAGCAAGGGGAATGGATTCACGAATACATAAAGAAGAACAATGTAGAGTTGAATTCCATTGTCGTTACAGCAATCATAGACATGTACAGCAAATGCGGTAGCATAGGGAAGGCCCTCCAAGTGTTTGAGAAAATACCCAACAGAGCATTATCCAGTTGGAACTCCATGATCTTTGGGCTGGCAGTGAACGGGTGCGAAAACGAAGCGGTTGTGTTGTTCAAAATGCTGGAATCTTCTTCTAATCTCAAACCAGATTCAGTTAGCTTTATGGCTGTATTAACAGCCTGCAATCACGGTGCAATGGTGGATGAAGGCAGGGGATTTTTCTCGCTGATGACAAACACATACAGAATGGAAGCATCAATAAAACACTACAATATAATGGTGGACATGCTCGGGCGAGCTGGGTTTCTGGAAGAAGCAGAGCAGTTGATAGAAACGATGCCGATCGAGGCAGATTCAATCATATGGGGGTGTCTACTGTCAGCTTGTAGAACATATGGGAACACAGAAATGGGAAAGAGAGCAGCAGAGAAAGTGAAAGAATTGGACCCAGAAGAGAGCATGGGTTATGTTGTTATGGCGAATATTCAGGCGTCGACCAATGACTTCGTGGGAGCAATGGAGGAAAGGGTTTCAATGAGGATGAAGAAGGTGAAGAAAGAAGCAGGGTGCAGTGTGATTGAAGTGGATGATGAAGTTCATGAGTTCATAGCTGGTGGAGGGAGGTCGCATCCTAAAGCTCGAGAGATCTACCTTGTATTGGATGAATTGGGAGTAATTCTAGGAGATGAAACAAAGGAATGTGGAGATTTAGAGTTCATCAATGCACTACAAATCTACTCCAATTGACATTAATGATGATGATGATATTAATGTTTGAAGTTTTAAAAATTGGGTCTCGAGGTTTTTTGATGACTACTGAGATGACGTGAGGATTGGATCAGCGGCAGCGGAAGAGCAGCAGGGAGAGAGTTTTGGTGAAGGAAATAAATAAAAAAGGAAAATCCCACGTGCCGGGACAACGGTCAAACGCCGGTGCCGGTTGTAGTCACACGTGTCGGGATATAGGCCTTTTGTTCTTGGAAACATTTTAAGTTGGAAATGTTGACTCTCAATTTTTTTTCCATTTCCAAAAACCCATTTTCATACATACACTCCTTGTTTCCTTCACACCTTCACAGATCTAAAAACCCTAAATTGGATCTCTTTTTTCTGGCTTTGAATGGCGAATGATGAAGGGGAAAATAAGGAGTACCAGCAGTATGATCCATTTGTTTACAACCAGCTGGATATGAACCGTACCATCCTCCAGCAACAGCCGTCGTTGGATCCTGCTTTCATGAGCTTCACCAACTTCATGGACACGTCGTTAGAGTACAACAGCGTGTGGAGGGCGTTGGACGTGTCCTGCTCTTCATCGGAACTCATTTCTCCGGTGGACGACATGTCCAAAAAGAAGGCTTCAAATGCTTCAGTGTCGTCTTCATCTGATGAGGCTGCACCTGCAGCTGAAGACGATTCCGTGAAGAGCAAGAAAGAAGAGAAGCGTAAGAAACAGTATGTATTCAATTGGCTCACTCATGTTTTGAATTTAGAGGTAAAATTTTAGAGAAACAAAAGGTGGGTTTTTTAGAACAAGATTGATTATGTTGAGATTTATCAGGAACGCAGCCCAAAAGAAAGAGAAGCGAGAGAGGGAGCCCCGGTTTGCTTTCTTGACCAAGAGTGAGATTGATCAGCTTGAAGATGGATATAGGTGGAGAAAATATGGACAGAAGGCAGTCAAAAACAGTCCTTACCCCAGGTTAACTTTCGCTTTTGTTTTTTTTAACCCTGTTCTTATTCATAGCTTAATAATGTGTATGTGTTAAACACTGCAGAAGTTACTACAGATGCACCAGTCAAAAATGCGTAGTGAAGAAACGAGTAGAAAGATCATACCAAGATCCATCCCTGGTCATAACTACGTATGAAGGCCAACACATCCACCATTGCCCGGCTACACTCCGAGGCCATTCGTCTCCGTTTTACGCATCGGCATCGACGTCGACATTGGCAACGGCACCCTCCTCGGGACCTGCCCTTCCCCAACAACTCTTCTCGCATTTGCTATCAAAGAACTGCCAGACCGATCCCACGTCAATGATGTACCAAAATCTAAACCTCCAGCAACATCTTCAAATGCCGGATCATCATAGTCTGTTGCAGGATTTGTTCACTCAAAAATAGGCCCTTACACAAGTACTCCTCTTTGTATGAAAAGCTATTATACAAGAACTCAGCTTTGTCTGCCTGTTGTGTTAGGATATATAAAACCATGGAGAGTTAAAAGATTTGAATTTCTCAGTCCCTTTGTTATATATTTGGCATGTATCTAACCTAAATGCACTATGTTATCTCATGCATTCTTGCATTGAGTACGTATATGAAAGACCAAATTTGTCTCCAAGATTTTTGGAAGGTGTTTTTATTCATATTGGTGAATGTTGGGAACTCTAGTTTGAAGTGAATGATGATGATGATCATGCAGATTTTGGTTTTATCCAAAGAAGAATTTTTTTTTGTGTAATTAACTTTTGGAATCTTGTTAACATTCGTCCACGTCACATTTTCTTGATATTGCAAAAATATTTGTTGAAAGAAAAGAAGTGAATGTGTCTCAATCTATGGCCGATTTCAACTTTCGAAACCCTAAAAGAACCGATAATTTTGATTTGGAATAATGAATTATGTAAGGATCGGGGGTAATCGAAATGGACACTAGAGAGAAACTTGGCAGAGACGAGCTAAAGTTAAGAAGGAGGGTATGAAGTAATAATAGAGTAATGAATTGGGAGTTGACTTTATGGAAGGTGTTTAATGACAAGTTTGAAGGTCAACCTAACATTAATTATTGGAAACTGTCTGCCTTGTAACGCTACAATGACATCAACTTCCTAGTTTCTCAAATCTGCATGTGACTTGCACGTTGGTAACTCATACCAATCTAAGTTTCGAGCTGACCTGTAAGGAAGTGTTTGTCCAACATGTTAGAATGCTTAATTAACTCATTGCTTACATCGTTGTGTTGTCAAATTGAATTTGAAATGGATCCCCTCTATTTATACATTTCCTAGCTATTCTATTGGTGGGTGCCATGGAAATAATCAAAACTGGAACATCCTCAACTCTGTTGATAGCAAGCTCGGTACGGCTCGTACCTTGTCCGGAGAGAGGAATTAAACATTTCTTACAAGGTTATGAAAACTTCTCCCTAGTAGAAGCGTTTAAGACCTTGAGGGGAAGTTTGGAAGGAAAAGCTATGTACCAGCAGTGAGCTTGGGCTATTACAAATCGTATCAAAGCCAGACACCAAGCTATGTACCAGCAGGGACGTAGGCCCCCAAGGAGGTGGATTGTGAGATCCCACATCGGTTGGAGAGGGGAACGAGGAACAAATATTTGTTACAAAGATGTGGAAACCACTTGATAATAGACGTGTTTTAAAATCTTGAGAAAAAACTCAAAAGAAGACAATTTTGTTATAAGAGCGTAGAAACCTCTCTCTAGTGAACGCATCTTAGAAATATTGAGAGAAAGCTCATATAAGATAATATAGGTTAGTGGTGGACATCTTCATTTGATTGGGGCAATGACATGTTAAGAGAAACTGATGACATATTAAGAGAAACTGAAGACATATTAAGAGAAACTGATGACATATTAAGAGAAACGTGATTCATCCTTCTGAATACACTATGTTTGAGTTTGAGTTGTATAAATGGAAATGAAATGTATGACTTAGAAGGCAAGTTACCTAATCCCAACAAAAATATATGTAAATGTAAAGTATCGAAGACATGATGTGAAGAAGGGAGGGGGCAGCAGAACTTACAATGATGTGAAACAGGAGGAGATGGTGTCTGCAAATCTTATCTTTTTACGTTCTCTAAAAAGGGTGCTTTCTTTTTTCATTCCCAGTCAGTCACTCCCACACGGAAATGATGGAGGAACTGCTCACTCTTTTCACATTCAATCCTTTCAAACTCCTCATTCTACTCTTACTCCCTACTACCACTTACAACCAACACAACAACCTACCCTTCTCATGCATTACTTCCCACCTCGCCTTGTCCGGAGCTCTCTTTTGTGGATTCAATCTCCGAATTAGCTGTGCTGCTCTTTTGGCTCCTCCGATCCTATCAAACAATTGCGTATGTCACATTTTCAACTTCCTTACACTATAATGATGCATGGGAGATTTCACTGATACCTACCTCACGTGACGGGTAGTCATCAGCTTCAAGCATCCTAACAACTTGACTCATTTTTGGTCTCTTATCTGCCTCAGGATCCACACACCTAAGTGCAATCAGAAGGCCACGTTTCAACGCCCGAGTAGCGGGTTTCGTTTCAAAACTTGGGTCCATGACTTCCTCAGCTCTCCTTGTGCCTACCATCACTTTTAACCACTCAACAAGATTAACCTGAAGAATAAAGTACACACTTTTATAACCAGGGAAGCATATAAGCAAGCCAATGTCAATTAAGCTATGGAAATTATATGTTCGCCATTCATGGAGATGGAGGACCAAGTTCAGGTGCACCCACCCAAAATGAAACTAATAACCAATACTCTTACGATTCAAAGTACCTCATTGGCAGGACGGCCATAGTCCACAGGGTCTCTTCCTGTAATTGCTTCTAGAAGGAGAACGCCGAAGCTGTAAATGTCACTCTTCTCGTTTAACAAGCCCGTGTTTGCATACTCTGGTGCCACATAGCTGGTATAAATATTAAAACACCAGCCAGCATTAGCTCCTACCCCAAGATGCTTCATCACAATTAGTCATTGAACAGACAGAAAAATGAGTGTATACCCAAATGTTCCCATTACTCTAGTCGTGATATGACTCTCCCCTGCATCCAACAGTTTAGCCAACCCAAAATCTGAAACCTTTGCATTAAATTCATCATCGATTAAGATGTTGCTTGATTTTATGTCTCTATGGACAACCTTCGGTTCAATTGCTTCATGTAAATAAGCTAGCCTGCATCCAATATTTGAAATTAGTTCCCCAAACTACTTCAAATGTTTGCCTTCACTTTATATTCCAACTTCTGTGGTTGAGAATTAAATATGATATCATGAATTTCTACCACATGGGGAACGGATGTTGGGTTTTACATTCTCAAGTTCGAAAGTTTTAATCTGGGTAACTGCGAGCACCATCATAGAAATTACCCAGAGTAGTAATCTAGAATGATGGATTTTCCGAAATTAGGAAAGGGAGGAGGAGGGCAGGGAAAGTAATTTCCAAACCATGAGTACAAAGAATCAAGGTTTATAAATTCCTTAAGCTATGAAAATCACTGGAAGACTGAAATGAATAAAGAGAACTGAAGAATGATACTGTCAGGTCATCAGAAACCATATATAAAAAAAGTGCATAAAAATATGTAAGCTGTTGTTATTACTTACGCCTTGGCAGTGCCAAGAAGCACCTTCATTCGGGCCTCCCATGTAAGGGTGCCATGTTGGCGCATAGCCCCATGTAACCATTGTTCTAAGTTGCCATTGTTCACATATTCATAAACCAGCATCCTGTGCAAGTAAAAAGGAAAATAGCCATTTTTTTAATGGAGAGACCCAAAAAAGTCAACTGAAAACCTAGTGACAGGGTAAACACTTGGTAAGTGCATGCTAAATGGCAGTTCGCAAATAGGGTTAGGAGAAAAAAGGAAATGAAAAGAAAAGAAAAGGTACCTATGAACTCCTTCTATGCAGTAGCCCAGAAGCCGTACAAGATTCTTGTGCCTTACATGGCCAATGGCCTCCACTTCAACTCTAAATTCTCTCTCTGCTTGTCCCCTATAAACCAACTTAAACTTTAAAAATAGAACTATTGTAGCTATAGTTTTATTAATGTTTTGAACTCGGAAATTCCTTACAGATTATTGAGAAGTTTCTTCACTGCAACTTCAGTTCCATTTATCAGTCTGCCTTTATAGACAACCCCATAACCCCCTTCACCAAGCACATTGTCAGCAGAAAAACGATTTGTTGCATATTCAAGATCCCTGAGTGTAAACCAATGACCCCAACCAAGATGTGAAATTTCGGGCAAGCCAACAAGAGGAGAGGCAGTTACAAGTCCTCCATACGCTCCATATGACATGGAACCCTGCTTTCTAACAGTCCCAGAGCTTCCTTCTTCTCCTGAATGTGAGCTAAAAACCCTTTCATTATGATAATTGGAGCTGCATTGGCTTATGTTATCATGATCACTTGACTTGCTCATACCCAAATGACCAATCATCTTCTCCGAGTTCTTGTCACTAGATTTATCATTAATGGAAAGATATAGACTCTCAAGATGATTGTGGTGAGCAGATTGAGTCGCTATTCTGTCCACCTTGATATCCTTTGAGACATTTGGTATTTGAGAAACAGAGAAGTTTTCAGGGGATCTCCTTGTTTTTCTTCGAAACATCACCCATACAGATAAAATACCAAGAATCAAAACAATAAATGCACCAACACACAAGCAGATCAAAACCCATAAGGACAAACCAAGGAAGGATGTTTTCTTTGACAATTCTGTATTCAGACTACTTCCAGATGACATAGCTACGGCCGATCCTCAAGTTGCCAAAACTTTGAACTGGCTCAGCCCCCTAAGTTCCAGCCGCAGACAAATCAAGACATTTCGACCTGAGAATTAGATGCAAAGCATCACCCAGTTTCAAATTATAGGTAAGAGATTCTTGAGAGAGCTTGGTATCAGTAACACAAATACTAAAGTTTCTTTCCAGTTTGACAGGCATGTAACTCAAATTACAAAACAGGAAACATTCCCCAAATATTGCAATCTCCTTCACAATCCTTATAAATCCAGAGAATAGAACAGAAAAAGGGGGCCATAAGTCGGTTAAGGAAGATACTTTACATCTGCACGGGGCATTCAACTGGATTCCATTCTTTCCAAAACAAAACCCAAGATAGTCGTATGTAAAAGTCATGATGAAGAAGAAAGCAAAATAAATTCAATGTCCCATTACAGAAGAAAACCCACATTAACGAACCAACAATAGCTAAATCAAAAGGGGTAAATCTATGAAACAAAAAGGAACAAATTTGTAGAAGGCATCACTTATGATTGAAGTAAAAGACATAAAAGAGAAACGTGAATAAATCAAAGAAAAGAGAGGAAAGTGATTCAAAGTAGAAAGCATTCATCCACCTTTCAACAGATCTAGACTAACCCCCTTGATCTTCCTCTTTAAAACGAAACAGAAGCAGAGAAAGGGCTTCTATTTTAACCAACAGGGACCCAATAAGCATAGAGAGTCCAATATGGAGCTGTAACAAACCAGATTCTCTGGGGGGCGGAAGAAGATTAGAAGAAAGGGGCAGAAAGAATTTAGGGAAGGGTAGAAGAAAATGCAAGATAAAGAGCAGACAAAAAGCTAATTTAGGTGTGGGAGAGGGAGATAGAGAGAATCTAGGAACAAAAATAAAATGGGGGAATGAAAAGATGGGGAAAAGGGTAGGTGAGAATGGTGGTTTGGAGGAGGAAGAAGTTGAAAAGGGAAAGCGGGGTAGCAATGGAGGTCACCGGAGACGGGGAAAACAGGAAGAAGAAAGTGAAGAGGATTATGGGAGTGGAGAAATGGGTGGGTGAGAGAAAAACATTGAATATGCAGGAAAGGGTAGAGTAATTAAGAGAGAGAAAGAGAGTCAACCGAAGTGGAAGGAGTTGAAATGTAGCTGGTTAGGAGGGCCAGTAAAGCAGATCGGACATGGGAGAGGGAAACGAAAATGGTAAAATGGGAATGAAGGGAAGAGAGAGAGAGAGAGAGAGAACGTTAATTTAGGTGGCGACACAAAAATGAGGATGGAGCAGAGAGAGAGAATCGACGGAGAATAATGGTAGCCTGTAGGATTAGCCGATTGCCTGATCGTACCGGATACCAAAAAAAAAATATCAGAATCTGTACAAAAACAAAGACTGAGATGCGAAGATGAGCGTATAAAATATGAATAAAAATACGCAAAATATACCCCCAATATTTCTTTTTTATTTTATTTTATTTTATTTTATTTTATTTTATTTATTAGCTAAGTAATTATATGAGGAATGTAGTAATTTATTCATATACTTTTCATTGTGTAATAATTTAGTTAACAATTTGACCCCTATATTTTAAAATTTGTAACAATTTAATCCCTACTATGAAAAAAATTGCCATACTTTAATCCCCTATTATGAAAATTATATGAAACTTCATACATAAGTCAATCAAAACTAACTGGAGACCCAATATGTTAATGATTACAAAGTGTAAATCGTTAAATAATTAAAGTTCTCAAGGACCAAAGAATTACAAATTTAATACATGAACAAATTGCTACAAATTGAAGCCTATGGATTAAAGTTGATTCGTTAATTGAGAAGAAAAGTTAACGAATACAAAGATGATAATGACACCTAAGGTAAGTGAGTTAGTAATTAAAATCAACTTCGTAACACCAAAATTACTTCAAAATCCAAAACTGCAAAAAACTAATGGCGTCCATCTTTTCCTCGAGAACGTAACAGTGTGAACAAGATTCAAACTTTTGACCAAACTAAAGGGACTATTTATGTCTTTACCTGTTCAAATGGGCCAAAAAAGAAAGAATTTACTTCTGGCTTTAGAAGAGAGAAATAGTAATGAATAGCACTTACATAGCATCAATAAAAATTTGAAAAGTAGAAAGAGATGTTTTAAAGTTCAGAATTTGGATGTGATGAGTAATGGCGGCCACCTGACGGAAACGGGTCATCTGCAGGGAGCAACAAGCATGGGCTGTTGTTTAAGAATGGCCCCTCCGGTGGACCTCCGGAGGGGCCCTCCACCTCTGGCCCAAACATTTTTAACAACCTGTTTCCAACAGTCTACTATAATTGTCGGTTACCCTTCATCATCTACTTTTTCTCTCTTCTTCTCCATCTACAATTTGGCAACAGGTTCTGAAAAGAAACAAAAAGGCCTGATCAATCCAGCAAAAAAATTGCAATTTACTATAGTTTAGTGACAATTAGAAAAATATTCAACACAACTACTTTCATTTGTTCCACCAACTTACAGTTTGAACTTGGAAAAAGAATCAGAAACTCAATTAATATTGAACATGATGCCCATAAAAATCTATTGCTTAAAGACAATTAATAACTCGGTCAATTGCCAATTTGCAATTTAAAACAAGTTTATTATCGTTTAAGAATTAAAATCAATCTATAACTGAAATCAAATTCTTAATCACCGCACAAGCTGTCGCATCAGAACTCTAAACATGGTTTAAAAAATATATATCAACGATTTGGAATAAACTGAATAAATCTATCATAACTATTTGAGCTATCAAAATTTGTAAATTAGCCCATCAATGATAGACTATTATCCAAAAGTACCTTATCCTACTAATATAAAAGTCGCATTTCTGTCATTCTCATGTTCCAACTTTGTGAACCTTATAAGATCCTGAAACAACTCCATAAGATCATGTTACCACTTACCATTGACCATTTTTATACGCCTTGTTATGGATGATAAAAGAGAACTATAATACCCCTATCTTTATAATTTCATAATAAATTAAGTATATTTTTAAACCCTAAATAAGAAAACTACAATGGAACAGTAGAACTATCAAAATACCTTATGAAGGGCAGAGTACGACGATCAAAGCAGTTGTCCCTGAAGTTGTTAGGAGTTATTTATCCATTCATCTGGCACAGATGATCTGAATATGTTTAGAAGCAATGATCTTTCTTTCTTGCTTAACTTGTTTAAACCATGACCATGAAAGCTATTACCATGCTTTAGTACTTTTCGTCCTCGCTCCAAACTTCTTTTTCTCAAAGCCGTCAGAAGGTGTGTTCCCTGAAGATCAGCTTGAAGATCCTCCTCTATACTTCCAGATTTCTCTTGGTCTATTATAGAAGCGGAACCATCATTTACTACTTTGAAGTGATGCTTGTCATCTACTTCATTATTTGTTTCATCTGGACAGCTACTTCCCCACCACTTATTTGATATAGATGGCAATCCACCAGAGGGGAATCCATACTTGAACTCATCTAAACTTGTTGGTCCTTGCACCCAATTTGTGCTTTGAACATTCAGAGGACGCCTGATCTGCGCATTAATGTTTCCGGGCTGCAAGCTTTGAGGAGTGCCATTTAATTTGGACATTTTCTCATTCACTTGCTGGATATTACTGTGTGGGATGATAAAAGTGAAAGGGAGAAAGAAGAATAGAAGTAGTAAGTTCAGTAGTATGCATGAGACCTAAAAAGCATTATTATTTGAAAAATACAACAATATAGTACAATTATCACTCTAGAACTCAAATACATGCAAAACTTAATTTAACGGATATCTTGTCAACAGATTGATAACATATGAAAACCAAAAGAACTATGAACAGCGAGATCAGAGACAATTAGAACCAAACTTACATTAGCTACACCTCTCAAGTCTAAGTAAATTGTTGAGCCAAGGAAGACCTCTCAAGTTTCAGTAAATGAGAAGATCAGTTGGAAGAAAAAGGCAGATGAATTGTGAACCAAGCCTCTCAAGAAAATATTATCTGATTTCCTAAATGAGCATGTATAATGGATAACGGTGTCGAAAAAATCAGTGACGACGAAATTATATGTTGGTATATTGATTTCCTAAAATATTATCTGATTGAGTGATACAACTTTTTTTTTTTTTTTTTTGTTGTAATTATAGGATTTCTTTGACCATGTCAATTAGGAAGCTTCACTCTAACCCATTGGCCTTACCTACTATGGAAAAATAGCATCTGATGCAGGTGATGCAAAAGCAAACATATTGTATTCAATGTTAATCTCGCTCTTTATGTGTCAAGTGTAACAAAGAAAAGGAATAGAATTCATAGTGGCCATAGATTGAGCCAATAGTCGTAGTCGTCGACCAACAAACAGCGATAGGGAAATCAAACATTTTTCAATTGCAAAAATGTTTCATGGAAACTTAGAAAAAAAATGTGAATTATGCCGAAATCGATCACGAAGATAAAGCCACTATATCCGTCCGCAACTACGGAAACATCTAATTACCAAGATGTTTGGGCACTTGTAACCTCACATTAAAAAAGTTCTTCTACTGCGGATTTTTCCAACAAGGCGACTTAAAGAAAACAAGAAGAAAAGAGAAATAAAGGCGAATGTGTACTCTCTAACATACCTTGGAGGGCACTGGGCAGCGACTAGTGAAAGTGAGGGAGGGAAGTATTTGGTGATAGCGTTTGGAAGAGAAGTCGAAGGCAGGAGGAAGCTAACCCTAACCAGAGCGGCGGCTGGTATCGGCGTCGAGAGATCGATGGTAACGGAAAATTGAATCTGCAATCGCCGGTCCGTCCAAGGGTTGGAAGAGTGCATACAATTAGGGCGGCAACGGAGAAGCCCCTTACCTCCTCATTTAATTCTGCACATTCTGTTTTTGTTGGATATGAAGGAATTTTTTTAATACCACAAATTTGGGATGAGAAAATGTTGACGTGGATTATATTCAAAATTTTTACAAAAATATTAATTGATAGAAATATTTTAACCAAAAAAGCTCATTATTTATGAAATAAAAAAAATTATAATATAGGTAGGTATGTTTGGGTTATAATTTTTAAAAAGAATCATTAATATCTCAAATTAAAGACATCTAATTCTAACCCATTGGATAATTAAAATGGAAGATATCGAAATACTTCAACTTGGAAGCAGATTTTCGGTGCAGATCCTTGAAAAGATGGCGCAATTCCAGTTTCATCATAAACAGCTATTATTCTAAACAGATCAAAATAAAAGCAGCTATATATCAGAATCAACACCAAATCCCAAAACTGTGGTCGGAAATGATCGTTTTCCGATCTCCCAGAATTCTAGTTCTTATAACTGTGACTCTAACTGTATGGCGTAGAAGAAGAATTCTATAATGGGAGAGATACAGTTGAAGGGGATGGCGTTTCTTTCTTTTCAGTAATGATCATTGATGGCGTTTCTTTCTTTCCAGCAAGAATCATTGATATCTGCAGACCTCTACTGAATGCCTGGTTGAACAGCAGACGTGTTTGGAACTCTGATACAAAAGGGAACCATGACAGAATGGCTGTGGGCATCAAAATAACGAGTCCCATGATGTATTCATATGCTCTTGCAAGCTCTTTTATTGATTCCCAGAACCCTATGCCCTTCATCATCGGTCTGCAAGCCTGCCCAATCTTTGGAAAGGGACAAACATGAATCAATACTGGATCTTTCACATATAATTTATCTAAACAAACTATGTCCAACCTCTATCTGTGCAAAATTTTATATTTGAAAAACAGTCGGAATGAACATTTATTTCCTAGGTAGACTAATTCTATTTCAAATCAAACGGATATCTTATGAGGACATAATTGCAAAACTTACTAGGACGATGGCCCATCCGGTAGGCAAGAACGCAATAATTGCTGCAAACAGATCCGACACTGTGAGGCCACAGACTACAAACAAGACAGTCATGACTGACATGAAACCAAGGAAGAGCAGAGCTTTCAGTATTCTGAACATCAGCTGGAAGTCGGTACCGAATTTTCGCCTGCCCATGGAAACTAACTGGCAGCCACATGCGACATAAATGTCAGAAAACAAGAATAGAAATCTTCCAAGAGCACGGGAAAATTAAGCCGTCTAAAATAGTAGAAATCTCAAAATACAAAATCAGTCTTCAAAGTAAGAAAACAATATGAGAACCTTATGTAGGGGTGTACCTTTAAGACAACAAGAGCAATTACCATGACTACCCAAGAAAGTCCATAGACCTGGAAAGATACCGAAGCAAAAAGCAGCAGTGAGATATTGGCAGCATATCCAAAGTAATAGCAACAGGAGAATGAGAGAAAATATGTTGTGGTAATAGAAAAAATCCCTACCAATAAGCTCTTAATGCGATGAGATATATCAAGGTGGTAAACAATTCCATATTGGAAAATGAGGAATCGTAGAGCAAGAATTATCTCTAGCACTCTTCCCCTTATAGTTGTACTTTTCAGGTGTTCCTGTTCTCCATCCCACCAAGATTCCCAACTTTTGTCGTGAGAGATTCCTATTCCACCGCGATTTCCCATCCACCTTTTCCAATCTGTCCAGTCATCAACTGTCTTTTGCCAATCAAATCCAGATGGATTGAACACAAAGGGAGCAAACAACCAGGAGGCAACCAGAAACCACATCGAGAAAGTGATGAACAGATAAAGTTTTGAACTGCGATATGACTGTCCATAGATTTGATAAACAAGCAGCAGAATCAACAGTTCCAAGCCTTTGACAAAGTGACTTCGTGAGTACTGCCTGTAATTATCAGCAAATTTTGCATGAAAAACGACAAAGCCACGACCAGTAGCACGATATTTAGAACCTCCATGCAAGATTGTTCGACCGTAAAAGTGTGCTTTAGTTCCAAGCTGGAATGTGAAAAAAACAGAAGCTAGTTGCAGCTGCATGATAATAAAATCCCCAAGGGCAGTACGAAAGCCTTTTTCAAGGCCAATTTCCATAACCATTGGTAGTACCAGCAACAAGCCTAGTTGAAAGACAGACTGGGTAGCCAAAGCCTCTTCGAGAGCCTTAGTCTGACGTATGGAAGGGTTTCCAAGAATCTCCCTTTCAACACCACTCATAACCATGTACAAACGTCCATATAAAAATACATACACCGTCAGCACAGTTACCTGCGAGATGTATACAAAAGCTAAGAATGACCTTTGTTATTATGGCGAACATGCACAGGTAATAAAAGGCGCCATTTACGAATTGAAAATCAAAAGAATAATCATTTACTGTAGACCTTCTCAAATTTGGAAGTAGTTATTCAAGGAAAGTGCAAACCATATATAAACTATATCTTAATAGTATGAGAAGATCTTGGTTGTGGAAATAATACCATACTACTGAAGTAGAATCCAACAGTTGTGAAGTAGAACGACAACATTCTAAAGAAGTCAAATCGGCGTCCAAGCCTATAAACATCACGACTAAGTGTCTGCTCTCCATTCCCATTTGCAACCTTGGCCTCAAAAAGTGATATTTGATTCATGCCCACATCTCGCCCCTTGCCTACTTGGATGTACTCATGATGCGTGACAAACCCCCCACGAAGAGTTGAATTATATCCTGTAAAGATTGGCACAATTAATTGACATGTGGAATCTATCTGCATGTCTCCTTCAATTGAAATAAGAAATACCAGCAAAGATATCCTCGCTTAAGTTAACGACTCTAGAAGCTTTACTGATTCCACCCCTTGTTATGTGGAAGATTCTGTCAAATATGTCAGGATGACCATAATGGAAACGTACCCTGTGAAAGTGCCATGTGAGCTTATGAATACCATCTATGATATCAATGTTTCAACAAATCAGACTATTTTTAAAAAAAGTAAAATAAAATAAAATAACAATATGGTTTTTCATTAAAAAAATACATACTGTAAACGATAGCATAAAAAACCCAGATTTGTAACTTCTGGAGAAATGCGAAAAGTTCTACTATTGCACAGTATCAGAGAACACAGGTAGCAAATGCCCAGGAGATATTACAAAAAAGAAAAAATTAAAGAAAGGTATTTCTATTAACAATCATACAACTATAAGGTATAATTTTGTGCAAGACACTCTTATACCTTGCTGGCAAATACTAAAACTACGAAAATGACAAGGAAAAGGGACAGTGATGTCAAGATACTACTTAGTACAAAAAAAAAAGAAAAAAAGTAGATGATGAAATAAAGTAATCTATGGATTAAATCCCTGGAAATAGTCCTTAGAATTTGCTTATTATCCAATACCAATCTGCATGCAATCTTTTCATGATCTCATGCAGGTATCTCTTACACCAAAAATGGCTTACACCTTCCCTATTCTCAGTAGCATCAAAAGTTTCCATTTTGCAACCATTTTCAAGATAACAAGGATTGTTGAAAGGAAATAGAAAATGGGAAAGCACCAAGGCACACAAAGACCCACAGAATGTCCAAAAAACAAGTTAAAATATCAACAGAGAGGCCTACAGTTTTAAAATCTAAAAGTTAACTACATGCAGCAAGTCAATATCATATATAATAATTGTAAGTACTGAACGTCTATTGATAATTATATACTGATAAATCAATGACTTGCCTCAAAGGATTTGCCAAGATTCGTTGGCCAATAGTTACAAAACTAGTCTCCTGATTGGACATGAACCAAGCGAGAGATGAAACACTGTAAAAAATGAGTGGGAAACAAGTATAAATCATTGTCAACCATCAGATGTCAAACCAACTATTTTTGTTGAAAACTGACATGTTAGGTTCCCGTATAGCAATTACTAGACTCAAACTTAAGCATCAAGGGACTGACCTTCCAGTAAATATATGCTCCCTCAAACCCAAGATTGTGGGTTTTCGATCTGCGTGACGGTTCTTTTGGAGCTCTTCCAAAACATTTCTCATTTTGAAAGCTTCTTCAAAATAGTTATCCTGTGATTTTTTTTTTTTTTTTTTTTTTTTTTTTTTTTTTTTTT